GTTACATATGTGGCTACGATCATCATTAGGTAACGTGAAAATCAAAATTCCGGTGATCAATGTCAGGGGAGTGTACACTTGTCTTTAGCTACACTACCAAAACCAACACATTTTAGATTACATATTACTTGCTACTTGAACAAAGTGCAAAGACATCATTTGGTACAGGCATAGTCTCAATTATCGATTTTCGCTCAATTAGTTGCAAGGACATGCCTTTCATTAAGTGCCAATGTATATGACAATGCATAAACCATACGCCAGGATTGTCTATAGGGTAACGAATCACAGTAGTACTGTAATAATGAAACGGTCATTAGTTTTGTAACTGTTCTATAAATTAATAAATGCTGTATTTGTTTAAAAAATAATTACGTACCTATTTCCTTCAACAGTTACCGTATCACGATAAGCAGGATCAATTAAATTAAAATTAGATGGATCTGGACGTCCAATGCCAGAACCATTTTGTCCATTATATATAACGAAAAAACTGTGTCCATGCTATTTTTTTTTTTGTTTAGAAATTTGCTTTGAAAAAAATAGATATTATAAATGATTATACTTACCATATGAAAAGGATGAGACTGAAAAGTGGTAACACTAATATAGATATCAACAGCATCATTCTTACAATCCTCAGTGGTGCATTCATATTCATAAGCATTTTCCTCTCTCAAAAAGTTGTTAGCTTGTAAATCCATAATTTTTCGATTTGTAGGATAATTAAAATTAGCTACCTAAAAAAGAGATAATTGAAATAATTTGTATGTTATACTGTTATGTAATAACGATATATCTAAAAAAAGCAAAAACTTACAAGGCTTGAGTTATTAATAAAAGCCATTCCTCCAGTCGTTGGTAATTTGCCAAGAGTAACCACAAGATCAAACTTACGAGTAGATTTTTTAGGCGGTTTAAATCCAAGTGGCTTTAAAATATTTGGATTCACATCACTACATACATCTGATTGCTTGAACGGATAAGCTATTGAATCTGGAGCTGTGTCATTTGTGCCTTCATATTTTAAAATTCCCAAAACATTAGGATTTAATGTATAGTTAAGACTTAGAGATTGATTTACCGGTGTGCAAGGCGAGAGCAATGCACGAATAGAATAACTTTTAATCGGCATATTAGCATTAAGAATTACTGAATATCGCTGTGCAACATTAATTGGAATCGTAGTTAGAGTGACATTGTTTATTAAATTTCCATCAACTTCAATAATAGTAAGCGGATGTTCATCAATCGAAAATATATAATGAGTTGCCCCGCTCATATTAATAATTCTAAATCTATATTTTTTACCCGTTTGAACAGCATATGTGGCGATTCCATTATTCGGGTTACATGAATTGGTAGGGGCGGTAGTACAATTATATTGACCTTTGCCGCTAATGTCACCAGAAATAGGGTTAGCTTCACCACCTCGATAACCAGGAGAAAGAAGAATTGGATCCAGAACATCTGTTGGAAAGAGATACCATTCTGATAATGTTATTACATATTCGAAATCGTATTCTGTGAGATAGGGGTCATTAGGATTATAAATTACAAATGGGCCTTTGAGACCATCAACAAGTTGACCCCCGAAGTGTGAATGGTACCAATAAGTGCCTTGATAAAATATTACAATTCTGTTAATCAAAAAATTTTAAATTATAATTAATTATAATATTTTTTTTAAAAAAAAAAACTTACCAAATTCATTAACGGTAAAATTGTAGAGAAGACTGCCATGGTTGGGGATCGGACACTGTGTTAATCCCGGAACTCCGTCATATTGGTTATTGCCAGTTAGAGCTAAGCCGTGCCAATGAACTTAAAAAAATAAAATTATGAGAATTAAGGTTATTAAAACATTTAATAAACTATTTAATTTATTTAATAAATTTTTTAAGTTACTTGTAGTAGGTTCTCCTAATTCATTTGTTACATTAAGGAGAAGTCTATCACCATAGTTTGCTTGAATAATCGGGGCAGGATATTGCCCATTAACAGTTTTCCTAAATTTTTGGGAGAATAAAGTTAATAAGAGAGAAAAAGATTAAAATTTTTTTATGCTTAATAAATTACGGATCTTACACAATATGCTTTAATCCATCAGGCGTTAACGTTTTTACTGTTAATTTTAAATTATAACACCGAGTAACTGAACCATTACTTGGTTGTAAGGGTTGAAGAGGTACAAATAAGTCAGAAGTAATATCGATGCAATTTAATTCATCTGAGGCGCTTAAGCCAAGCAATGCGAGAAATAAGATTATTAATTGAGTTCGCATATTTTATTACAGTCAACAAATTTTGATCTGTAAAGAATAGGTAGAAATATTCAATTCTCCCTTTTTATATTTTCATTTACAAAGTTCCGCATGATTAAAGCGTTTTTTTTTTTTTTTTATCGGAGAACTCATATTCCGTTAGCTAAAGTTTCCAGATACTTAATGGTTTAAATTGTGTTAAAATGTTATGTCCGAATTTATTGAACGCAAATTAATTTATAACTTTAATCTTAATCATTTATAGCAGAGAACTGTGTTGTTTCCAAATTCTATAATCGTTTATTGTGCTTTGCAAAAAGATTAGGTCTCTGCAGATCAGAATTCTATAGATTTTAAGAATTTTACCGATTTTAAAGAAATATAAATGTAATCGCTCGAAAATATAAAGTAATAGACAATCAAAAATCTCAGAAATTTCTCCGACTATTACCACAAAAATCATGTGGCCACATCTTTAAACTGTTAAATGGTTCCAATCTTTAAGGCAACCTTGTCTAGGGTAAATATGTATTATGCTTAAACTAACGAAATAAGTATATTCTAGCATTAAGATCAACATCTAATCATTTTTTTTTATTTCTTTTCATAAACTTTAAGTGTAACTTCCTTTAAATACTATTTTAGTTTTAACCAAATTAAGATATATTAAACAAATCAAATTAAATATATTAAATATCTTCGTATATAACATTAAAGTGCCACACTGAACTTAACCTTTTAATATTTTAATTCTAAAACTCATTTTGGTAATTATTTTTGAATCCAGATATAAATTGGTCTGGGTTCAAAACTAATTTTGGATAATATGTGTATTGAGGTATCGAAATTAATGATTTGGCATCCGATTTCAGATACAAAAAAGGAAATTTAGTATTAAAATAGACTAAATACTTTAATATAAAAATTTAAGGTTAAAAATGTTGGTTAGAATAAATTGACATTTTTCATTTGAATGAATGCATGAAGATCGGTTTAAAAATTAATTTGTTTTCGCACACATGCACATGTCTGATTATGTATAAATTTTTTTCCGTGTCTCTCATTTCCGTATTTGTCTAATTCATTGTTACCTTCCATAATTGTATCGCTTGGCATTTAACCTCTGAGTGGATCTTATCCAATTATCAAATCTTTCAAACTATGGTTATTTAATTAATTGCGGATAATTGCGCAATTTTTGCTATTATACGCCAAAAGTCTAACTTTAACAATTCTATTTTGAAACAGCGTAAAATTAATCGCACACAAATATAGAAATATAGTAACAGTAAAATTTCCGTTAACGTTAAATATGTAATAGATATTCCACAGGCTGCTGTGAATATCATGGATTAGCACGGCTGGCACACCGTTGAATATCTGATATATTTCACGGTTCCTATGCCCGTAACATTTATGATTAAAATTTTTAATGATGACGTAATGACCGTGGAATAATTTTTGATATTTTCACGACATTACGTCATCATAAAAATATCATCAGAAATGTTCACGGGCGAACATTAGTGGCCCTGGAATATAAATACTTAAATAACAAAGCAATAGCTTATAACTTGTTAACCAAAAGGTTATTTATAGTCTTATTAAAAAAGCAGTTGCATAATATTAGAATCTAGTTTTAATTTGTTGTTTCTTTGTAATTTGTAAAAATTAGAAAATTAATAAAAAAAATACTGGCAAGATTATTAAAACAAAAAAACTAAAACTGCCAAATTGAAATAATAATAATTAAGATGTATTATGAAATTTGTTTGATTAAAACAAATAAATAATATATAGCTGCATAGTGGCATGTTTTAGCATATTGTTAAAAGTTGGTTTTTTTTTTATTTTTTAAAAAATATATTAATAATATGGAATATCTTAAATAATATTTTAAACTCAACAAAAAAAAATAGAATATTTTTTGTAAAGTAAATATATACTATGTTGTATATAAATTTCTTAGTTTTAACTTTAAAAATTAAATTCAAGTATGTAACTTATAACTTAAGCATTCTATGTTTAATTTGCTACAAATACTCTATTAAATAAAATAAGTTATTTTAATAGGTAGCATTAATTGATTAGAAGTTTTAAAATTTAAGCCCACAAGTGGAATCGATAAATTCACAAAATATCAAACTCCCAATCGAACCTCTTAATGTAGTGTTAAGTGAATATCCCACCATTTTGATGACCGGGGTTTTCTGAAAACATACTACATCGTTGCGGAATAATGCCCATAGCGTTATTTCGAGGCATAATTTAGAGAGCTAGGAATTAATTTAGTCGAAAATTTTTAAGTAAAATTATTGTTCGCACTCAATTAATTCTTAGTAAGAACGATATCTCTTATATAATCACGGGGTAGTTATTTTAATAAGGAACAATTTTGGAGTGTAAAGGTCTTCTACTAATAGTAATTCGAAAAAACGAATTCCAAGATCTTTAATAACTTTTCGCCCATTTACAAAATTTACCTTCATTATTTACATAATTAAATCTTTTGTGATACTAATTCTATCTTTTTGCGACTTACAACCTTTACATTATCGATAAAGCTGAAATTTATATTACTTACAATTTCACCTGATTTGCAAATAACCGTCGTCCAACATTTTCTGCGCTGTGATCACATTTCCTCATCACAGCGCTCTTTGAACATTGTCGTTGTTAGATAAAGAAGTAAAGGAAGATTTGAACTAGGTAATAATTATTAATATTATTATCATTGATTACGCTATCTTTATTCAATTAATATATATATATATAAGGTGGCTGACGATAGTAATCGATGCATGACTCCTATGTTGCCTTATTTTGCAAGAATCAAAATTTTTGCATATGATTGAGGTTGTTTTTAGTGAAGGTTTTTCAAATTTTCTTAGTTTAGATATATAAATTCCTCATATCGAATAATAATCCGAACCTTTGAGAATTAGGATTCTAATTTTGCAGGATAATGATTTTTAATAATGATTTTTAAGGAACGAAAGAAATCCTCCTGCTTATTACTCTTTTATATTGATAAAAAGTTATGTTTTTTTGATAAAGGGCGTACGTAAGAGGACGGGATTATTATTACAAATATACTAAATAAGGTTAGTTTTATCTGAAATAGCAATAAACTAATTAGGATTTTTAGTCTTTCGAACGTCTATTCCGAACGTTAATCAATTTTGAATTTGGAACCTAAATCCCTTTCGGAACACTTAAAATGTCTACAAATATTATATAGTTAACTATAATTGGAGCACAATGTATATGAGTGGATTAATTGTACGTATTTATTGATCGGAATGTCAATACTTGACATTAAACAAAATTTTGCAGTAAGTTACTAAAATAGAAATTTACTAGTAAAGTTATCGTGTCGGTATTTTATTCCGAAAGTCTCTAATTATTTTCATATTGAAATTTCGGGTACAGTACCCTTACATCAAAAGAAAATCGGGTCTGCCGACCCAAATATTTGGATCTAGACTATGTTAGATCTTTATATATTTGATATAAAAAAACAATGATCATATACGTAAGTAAATTTCTATGCTGAACATTTTTACATAGGATCAGAATTATGTAGCATGACATTATTTGGGCCGTGATCTAGGAAAATTATTGGGAGTTACACGAGAACTTTGTTCCAGACCCAAAATTTTAGGTTCGGAGGACGATCTTCATTTCTAATGATATCTGAATCTTAGAATATTCATGGTAACTTGGCGTTTTTTTCTTGTTGCCAATGATGTTGGAGAAATAGCATTTTCACCCACCCAGAGACTTTACACGGAGGCTTTATACTAGTGTTCCGAGTTGGTAAAATTTTTCCAATCGATTAGTTGTCAACTATAGTTGCAACTAATCGATTTTTCCTATTA